TGGTTACTCAAGACTTGGGAGGTAAGGAAACTGGATTTTTATTAGGTATGGGAGCTGTGGTCTCTGTTTTTACCACAAATTCAGGCCTACTCTCCAGTTATGACTGTCCATAGGAAGTCCAGAGATGCTCAGTCTGAGGAGGACACACTTATTGAAAGGCATCGTTATACCTGCGAGCCTGAGGAAGGTCGAAATGATCAGTGTTTCATAGGGCTTATCAGAGGAGGAACAATCCTGAGCAGTCTCTTCGTTGCCAATCTCTGCTATTCTGAGCCCAAATTCCCTATTGAGAAGCAATTATTTTGTCCCTGCTGAGTATGGGTTCTAACCAGCCAACACACAGTTTAAGATGGTCAAGCCCTTTAGTATCCTATTCCCTGGCTAATATGGTTATGGGCCGAAATAGCATTAGATTATTTGCTGACAGAACAGGGTAGCGTTCTGTCAACAAAGGCCTAACACTTGTTGCTCTATGTTAACACCACAAGTCAAGTTGAGATTAGGATAGTACACCTCCTATACAGCAGGTGTGGTGCTGTGGGCTAATGCGTCAGACTTGTGGTCCAGTGTTTTATCCCACAGCGCCACACCAGAAGATGAGGCTTCCTGTTTCTAGTACCATAAAGATTTACAACCTCACTATGAGTCGGAACCGACTCCATGGCTCATAACCACCACCATATATATGTTGTTGTTATTAAGTACCGTGGAACCGATTCTGACTCATAGTCACCCTGCACAGGGTTTCTGAGGCTGTAAAGTCTTTACTGGAGCAGAACACCTCATCTTTCTCCCACGGAACCACTGATAGTTTCAAACTGCTGACCTTGAGGTTGGCAGCCCAACTCATAACCATTATGCTACCAGAGCTCCTTACTCTCTCTCTATATGTTATGTGCGTGGAGTTGGTTCCGACTCAAAGCGACCCTGTACAGGGTTTCCGAGGCTGTAAATCTTTATGGGAGCAGAAAGCCTCATCTTTCTCCCTCGGAACAGCTGGTAGTTTAGAACTGCTGACCTTGAGTTTCACAGCCCAATTCATAACCACTACGCTATCAGAGCTCCTGTACATATACATATAAAGATATATACAAGGAGCTCTGGTAGCGTAGTGGTAGTGGTTATGAATCTGGCTGCTAACCTCATGGTCAGCAGTTCAAAACTACCAGCAGGAGAAAGATGAGGCATTCTCCTCCCGTAAAGATTTATAACATCGGAAACCCTGTATAGGGTTGCTATGAGCCGGAACTGACTCCATGGCACATAACAACAACAACAACAACAACAACAACATACATATATACACTTGACCACTTTGAAAGATTGGCAGTTTGAACCCAGCCAGAGGTGCCTCAAAAGACAGGCCTACAATCTTCTCCTGAAAGGTCAATCTTGAAAACTCAATGGAGCACCTGGTCTCTACTCTGCACACATGGGGAGCGGACTACAAAGCAAGTAACAACACAGCTGTGTCAGGCCACGGAGATGGATATGAGATTGGCCTGGTCTTTCTGGGGAGGGACCAGAGCTTCCCTTGGTAAAGGATGCTTGAGAAAGACTCTACTTGGCAAAGGGTTGGGGTAGGAAGGGCTGAGGAGGAACGGTGTTCCAGGCCTGAGGCTTGGTGGAGCCTGAGGAGAAAGGAGTGAGCTGTGTTGCTGAGGCAGGAGCAGCCTCCTTGGTTCTTACATATGTTGTTGAAAAAAATCATTGAACAAATCAAGAATTCCTTCCCTCCTTTCCTGCCTGGCCAGGTTCATACCTCATCTTTTCCCTCAGCCCACAGAATGGGGCTGAGCTGGGGCCAGCTGGAGATGTGGGGTTGGCCTTCTGCTTGGTAGTGGTATTGGTGGTGGTGGTAGCAGTGAAGGTCTATGAGGGCCCAGGACTTGTTTCCTGCGCTCTTGAGTGCTTGGCCTATCTATGTACAGATATTACCTCCACCCACATTGTCCATCTCCCCTGGGAACAGCATCAAATTGCAACCTGGCTGCTGGCACTGAGAGCAGTGGCTAGTCTTCCAGGAGGAGAGGGAGGGGCTGGCAAGCACAAAAAAGAAAAAATCATGGCGGAAGGTTGTCTTCTGAGATACAAACTGTCAGACTGGCCATCACAGATCGGCCAATTATCAGTGGACAGTTTCTGGTCAGACTTCACTAGGTCCATTTCCCTGCCTGTCCCTCTCTGACTTTCTGAGTGGCCAGAGGTCAGAGGAAGAAAAAGCAAGCAATCTGGTGTCTAGTTTTTAATTGCAACCAATTAGAAACTGGCTTTGGGACCCAACGGCTTCTTGGGCACACACTTGTTATTGGCTGGCTGCCGACCCTGGGCCAGGCCCTGGGCCAAATCTTTGTGGGCCTTATAGAAGGTGCCTGAGTTATCTAGTGCTGCTATAACAGAAATACCATGATGGCTTTGACAAAGAAGAAATGTATTCTCTCACGCTTTAGGAGGCTGGAGTCTGAATTTAGAGCACTGGTTCTGAACAGTGGTTCTTGTCTCCTTTCAGTATCTGTAAGCCCCACATGCCTTTGAAATGTACATGTGTCTTTCCCTGAATCTAGGAGCTTCACAGTGCAGAGACCCCAAAGGATGCACTCCCCTCCCAGCTATTCTTTCCTGCTGGTAATAAATAGGTCCCTCTCTCTCTGCTCACTTCTCTCTCCTTTCTTTTATTTCTTGTAAGATAAAACGTGTTGTAGGCCACACCTCTGAGAAAACTTCCTTTCAGTTGATTAGCTGCTCATAGCAGATCTCATCATGGAGGTTGTTGTTGTGCAGTGCAGTTGAGTTGGTTTCAACTCAGAGCGTCCCTGGATAGGGATTCTGAGGCTTGACATCTGTGCGGGACAGAAAGCTCATCTTTCTCCTGTGGAACTGGTGGGCTCCAGCTGCTGACCCTGTGGTTCGCAGTCCAGTGCTAACTGTATGGAGCCACCATTTTAACTGCTAAATCACTGAGAATCCAGATCCAGCCAAATTGACACAAACCCTTAACTGTCACAGAAGGAAAGACTCAGTGTTTGTTATGGACTGAATCGTGGACCCTCAAAATATGAAGCGTAAATCCTAACCTCTAGGTTGGCATTTCAAACTCACCAGCTGCTTCTCGGAAACCCTATACAGAGTCGTTGAGTCACAACCAACTCATTGACAATAACAACAACATATCTGTGTTTGGAGTCCTGGTGATGCCGTGGGTTAAGCAATGGGCTGCAAACTGCAAGGTTGGCAGCTCAAACCCACCAGGTGCTCCTCATGAATACGGTGAAGCTGTCTGTAAGAAGCAATTCTACTGAGAATTGCTATGAGGCTAAATGGACTGGATAGCAGGGGGTTTGGTTTTGGGTTTCTACCTGTAGTTTCTACCTTTGAGAAAGGGTTTTCTATTATGTTAAAGCAGCAGTACATGTATAGGGTGTGTCTTAAGTCAAACTTTTGAGATATGTTGTTGTTGTTATGTGCCATGGAGTCGGTTCCGACTCATAGCGACCCTGTACAGGGTTTCCGAGGCTGCAAATCTTTACAGGAGCAGAAAGCCTCATCTTTCTCCTGCAGAACAGCTGGTAGTTTTGAACTGCCTGACCTTGAGGTTCACAGCCCAATTCGTAACCACTGTGCCACCAGAGCTCCTTGAGATATAAAAAAAGTATATTAACCAAGCCACCAAGCAAGTAAGCAGAGATGGGGGGGATACAGATAACATGTCACATGGAGACACCACAAGGAGCCAAGGAATATAAGCTGAAAATCAACAAGAACTGTTTCCCCTGGAGCAGATAAAAGTTTTCCCCTAGAGCTGGGGCCTGAATTCGGACTTCCAGCCTCCTAAACTGTGAGAAAATAAATTTGTGAAAGCCATTCACTTGTGGTATTTCTGGTAGTGCAACACTAAGACATCCTAGAAACGAGGAAACAGCGACACAATGGTCATAGCACGTAATCGAGGTAACCTAGGAGAAGCAGGATTTGAACCCAATCCTCACCCCAGATCTGCCATAGGTTATCAGCTCATCCACAAGTGCCTTTCAGTGTTGGGGATGGGTTTTCAGGTCCGCCTATGGGCAAAGCCAACCCACCAGTCTGTTCATGGAGTCTTAGCTGTGTCTGCAGGACTCAGACGGTCAAAGTTCCCTTCCACCTCCTCCCAAGGAACATCAAATTCGCCTGTAGCCCCTCCCTGAGATACGGTTTTACCTCTGAAATGAAATAAACTGGGAACACTCCTCAAGTCTGCACGTTTTGCTCCTCTCTCACGCATTGTATTTCAACATCATCAAATATTTATGGAATGTTAATGATACATTAGGTCTAGAGATGCAAACAGAGTCTTGATGCCTCGGGGAATGTTATCATTTGACTCCATCAGTATTTGCACTGGGGATACAAGCTGAAGGAATGACCTGGGCTCTTGCCTTCAATTCACTTAGCGCTAGTAAAAAGTCATCCGGTGATTATCTGCTCACCACGATATTCTCCGTGAAGGGTGAGGGAGCCACGCTCTTGTTTCAGGGGCAACTCACACGGGCTGACGGCACAGAAGGCATCAAGGCCAGTAGCGGTTTAGAACCCGAGCCAGGGAGCTACCCGTAGCTCATCAGGGCACCTCGTCCCCTCCAGAGTCATTCCGACGCATTCAGACACAGAAGGTGCAGATGGAGGGAAGCTACTGGGGAGACCGCCTAGAGTCTGGAGATTTCAGTTACTTATAATACTGTACGGCACTTGAACTTTGCAGCAAACTTTCCGTCTGGGGTTCACTGACCATACAACGTAAGCGGATTCTAAGTATTTGGGTCCCCCGACCTCCGTCCACGTCCACGTCTTGCGCATGCGCAACACTCTGGCCTATAATTCCCGGCCAGCACCGCGCGTTGGAAGTCCCCCGGAAGTAGTATTTGCTGGGGTCGTCTCCGACCTTTGCGCGGGGGGGCCTCAGGCTCTCAGGTTTGAGGAAGGGGTGGTGAGCCAGAACTCCATGCGAAGAAGTGCATTCGGACATGGCTTCCGCTGGAGGAGCTGGTGACTGCGTGGCCGCTGTGCCGGAGACTGATCGCCCTCACCATCGGCCCTTCTTGATCGGGGTGAGTGGAGGCACTGCGAGCGGCAAGGTAAGGAGCTTGACTTCTGAACCCCTTTTGATCCGGAGAAGGAGATTCTATCCCCTAATTACAGAGTTGCTTTCTCCTCGGCTTGGGCTGATCGGAGGAGTGAAGGGCTACGGGCCACTATGAAGCAGGACCAATCTGTGGGGTGCAGGCAGGAAGCGGGGTGCTTGGCCTCCGGGCTCCTTGTAAGCCGGGCCCCATCAGATCCTTTGTTCTTGCTGCCACGTGCTCCGCGGCCCTCCCGCCAATCACAGCGCCATCTGCGACATTGGCGCCCAGGTTTCTGGAGCTCTTAGGTCAGCATCCCCAAAAGCCTGTGCAGAATGCGCGGGAAGGGTCGTGGGCTGGTGACGGGCCCAGAGCTTCCGAAGGGCTAGACCTATTGTTCTTTCTTCAGTCGACCGTGTGTGAGAAGATCATGGAGTTGCTGGGACAGAGCAAAGTGGATCAGCAGCAGCGGAAGCTGGTCATCTTGAGCCAAGACCGCTTCTATAAGGTCCTGACGGCCGAACAGAAGGCAAAGGCCTTGAAGGGACAATACAATTTCGACCACCCAGGTAGGTGAAGAGGCCCTGATAGTGGGGAGAGTGGGGGTGACGGCGGGCAGCCCCCGGGTTGGAAGAGAGCTGCAGTGAAATTGCCCAGATAGCCTGCAGGGAGCCCCTGCTGTGGATTCTGAGGACTTGACCGAGCTCCCGGGGCCCTAGGTGGCCCGACTGTGAATCCATCAGAAGTCCTGCACAGCCGAGGGGCCTCAGGACCTCAGTGCTGCCAACATTGTAAAACCTGACAATTTCAATCCATTGACATAAGCTTGATTCCTACTTGCAGATGACCCCCTAGGACAAACTCAAACTGCCCCAAGACTAAATATGAATGGAAGCAGACTGCCACATCTTTTCCCTAGTGGGTTCGAACACTTAACCACTATGCCACCAGGGCTGTTTTTACACTGGTCTTGAAAAACTTCACTCTCCTTCACTTTACCCCACCTTAGTGTTTGGAGCTTCAGGATAAGCACTGGATAGCAAACCTCAGGTCAGCAGTTCAAACTCATTAGTGGGTCCTCGGGAGAAAGATGAGGCTCTCTGTTTCCATGAAGATTTACAGCTCTAGAAACCCTGTAAAGGGTTGCTACCACTTGGAATCAACTAGATGGCAGTAGGTTTGGGTTTTTGCACACATCACTATCCTCAGTGGCCTTTTGTCTCCCATCTGTCCTGGGGCAAAGTCCTCAGAGAGGCCAGTTTTGGGTAGCAAGTGGGTAAACTAGAGCTGGTGGAATGCAGCCCCATTTCCTGGTCTGGGCACGAGGCCAAGTGAACAGGGGGAGACTGGGTGTTGAGAAAGAACAGCGAGACTGCCCCAGGCAGTACCAGAAGATTTACTCAGTAGATGGTTCCTTTGGTGCTTTCCAGAAGCGTCCAAGTGAAGAAGGCCTGGGAAATCTCAGTTATAGCGTGGTTATTTCCCAGAAAAGAGGGAAGCTAAGGCTTAGGCCTATTTCCCTGTCACTCTGGCCGATTAGAAATTCCTCGTATACAAAATGGGAAGCTGCTCAGAGGTTCCCCTCCTCACCAAACACACACAACTTGGACAGCAACTCCTGCCTGAGGGCAGCAAGAATAGGATCGTCCACGGCTGGCAGGGCTACAGAGGTCCTTGTTACTACCAAATATACACTGTAGGATCACTACCACTAACTGCAGCTCACCCCACAGCGGCAGGAAATGCATCCCCGTCGCTTGCACATGGGTAGCTATGTTGTCTTGCTTCTGTCTTGTCTGCAGATGCTTTTGATAATGACTTGATGCGCAAGACTCTGAAAAACATTGTGGAGGGCAAAACTGTTGAAGTCCCCATCTATGACTGTGTGACCCACTCAAGGTAAGTATGATTTCTGTGAGAGCTGGGGAAAGGGGCCTGGTGTGGGGCTCGGTTAGGACACTTCCAGAAAGCTGCCCCTGCCCTGCTTTCTGAGGGCTCTGATCTACCCTTACTGAAGAGTTAGCGTTCCCGTACTGTGGCTGACTATGCAGTCTGCTCAAAATCTTGTCTTTGCAGCAGAGCCCATTTCCTTGTCTCTGCCCCTGTAGGTTACTGGAGACAACAGTGGTCAACTCTGCAGATGTGGTTCTCTTCGAGGGCATTTTGGTGTTCTATAGCCAGGACATCCGAGACATGTTCCACCTCCGTCTCTTTGTGGACACTGACTCTGACGTCAGGCTGTCACGTAGAGGTAAGGTGAACCCAGACGTTTTTGACCCCCGGCTAAGGTTGCCCACTGGCCCTAAAACCTGGATGTCATCTTGCTTCTATCTCATCAGTTCTCCGTGACGTGCACCGAGGGAGGGAACTGGAGCAGATCCTAACACAGTACACCACCTTCGTGAAGCCAGCCTTTGAGGAGTTCTGCCTGCCGGTACTCACCTTTCACTCACTTGCCCAGTGCCTTGGGACTAGTTCTCCACCCTAAAAAGCTTCCTGTGCTTGCTATTCTTTCTGGTTCTAAAACTACCCTTTCTCCTTCCCCTTCTTGTGTCTACACTGGCTGCTTCAGGCCTTTACCCAAATGTCCTGTTCTTCAATGTCTCAGCTTGACAGTGAGAGCCTTCTGTTCTCCCTCCTCTCCCCTCCTAGCCTCTGCCTGCGTTCTTTTTGTCCAAAGCGGTTTCTTTGCTTATCCCAAGTGCTTTCCCCTGTTTAGGATGGTACACTCTGTGAGCGCAGGGACTTTTGTCTCTTCACTAACAGAAACAATGTCACATGTTGTTGGGTGCTGTTGAGTTGATTCTGACTCACTGCCAACCTACACAGCAGAACAGCACTGCCCATAGGGTTTCTGAAGCTACCAATATTTACCAGAGCAGATGGCCTCATCTTTCTCCTGTGGAGTGGCTGGTAGTCAATATGCAACTCAGTTTAACCACTATGCCACCAGGGTTGTTTGTTGGGCACATAGTTGTTGTTGCATGTCCTGGAGTTGGTTCCGACTCAGCAACCCCTTGTATAGGGTTTCCAAGGAGTGACTGATAGGTTTAAATCACCAACCTTGTGGCTAGTAGTCCAGTGCTTATCCTGTGGCACCACACCAGGCACATAATCAGCACTTTAGTAACTGTTGGAGGACCTTGATTCTCTGTGCTGCCTTTGGCCTCGCCCTCAGAGGGGCCAGCTGGCCTGGAGAGGTGTGAGCTGTGCAGCCCACTTGCTTTGCCTCTATCCTATGCTTTATCTTGCTGGAACTTGTGGCTCCACTCACTGGGGTGTTTTAAAGAGCGACTCAAGTTTTGCTTAAAGATAAAACTACTGTTATATTTTGAATCAGAGGAACCAGAACCAGGAAAAAAAAGTTATGAAAAATGAGTTATTTTTGAATTTTTTTAACTTAAGAATTCTTGGGACTTTACATTCATATTCCTTGAAGTTTCTGGAAAATGACTTCGATAAAAGGAAAGTAACTGTTACAGCCTCTTTCTTACTCCAAGAAAGACATCTGGCAAGTAGGTGGCTGAGAGTCAAACTTTGGACCCCAAATCTGAGTGGGTGACCCAAGGGAAGTATAGTTGTCTGTCCAGTGCTCCAGCCAGAGCCATGAGACTTAGTTACAGATGCCCGTTCCCACCTTTCACATTAAGCCACTCACTGAGTTCCCCTAACCTAGTCTCTTAATATTTCTTGACTGTAGCCCTTCTTCTATCCCTGCCAGCAGTTAAGGCCCTAATCAGCTCTCTTCTGGATGGGGAGGACGTCCTGCCTCTCCTCTGTCTCTCTCCAACCCATCACCTACACTGTCCATTAGTCCCCAGCCGAAAATGGAGACTGACCATGGCCCCTCTGCTCATCTTTTTCATGGACCACAACTGCCTGCATTCACAACTGTCTTCAGGGCTTGTTCCCTGCTTACCTCTACAGCTCATCTCTTATGACCTTTCTTTGACCCCAGTTCACATGTCAGCAACACTGAATGGCTGTGTCTGTCCCTCAGCCCAGACAGTGTCCCCAGTTGTAATGCCTTCTGATTCAGGTGTGTCCTCTCCTCCCGCTATCTGGTTGGGTCCCTCCCTCAGTAGCCCGTTACATAGCAGAGTAGCTGACAGGACTTAGGTCATTATCAGCATTAGAATGAATGCGTGAGCAAGTGAATGAATGGGAGCAGGTAGCACAGGTTGTCTTTATGTGCAGTGTAATGCTGTTAGAGGATGGAGCATGGCTGCATCCTGCCGTGCTCCCTTAACTTCCTCCAGGGTCTCTGCGAGGTTAAGCACTCCCCCAGGAAGAGCATTATTGTGGAAAGGTGCCACGTGCAACTTGGCCTGTTGAACCAAGTTGAGAGGCCACAGAGCTGCCCCTTAAGAGTGGTGCCTATAGAGACAAGAGCAGTGAGCATGCAAGGTAGATGCAAGGGCAGAAAGGCAACTTTGCATGGGACTTGCTTCCTGGATCACCATCTTAATACCGTCACTCCCTGTCCCCATCTGCCAACTAGCCAGGCACATCACTAGCACCCTGGGGCATAATTCCCTTCCTGATCTGCTAGCCTGGAGTAACTGTGGTGGAGTTGGGAGAACCTATGCTTACAGGAGCTTCCTTTTTGCCTTACAGACAAAGAAGTATGCTGATGTGATCATCCCTCGAGGGGTTGACAATATGGGTAAGAAGTTGGCTGGGACTGTAGCTTCTGGCCCTCCCAGGACCCACTAAGCAGGGAAGTTACACATGCAGTTACTGAGAACTCCTGATCACAGTGTGTCTGTGGCACAGCAAGTAGATTGACTGTAAGAATGTGTGTAAAGTTGACAAGGATTGCTGTTTGTCAGCAGAAAGTATTTCAGCCAGATCCTTGTTGTTTAACATAAAGCTGTAGGTTTTACATGCATGTGTCCTGCTGTGCCCACCTCTGTCCTGAGGTCTGACACCACAAGGGTAGCTGAGTATAAAGAGCTGCTTGGGGGCTTAGCTGTTGGGTTTTTAGGGAGCAGGTAGTGCTGAGACCCAGGAAGTGGGTGGCACCCCTCTGCCTGGTTCGGGACGTGCTGGAGCAGGACTAACCCTGCCTCCTACTTGTTTTTGCCGCAGTTGCCATCAAACTGATTGTGCAGCACATCCAGGACATCCTGAGTGGTGACATCTGCAAATGGCAACGCGGAGTGGTCAATGGAAGGAGCAACAAGAGGACCTTGTCTGAGCCTGGAGAGCATCCTGGGGTGCTTAGCTCTGGCAAACGGTCCCACTTGGAGTCCAGCAGCAGACCCCACTGAGGCCTCCTGGGCAGGTCCCCCCAATAGATGTGCCCACCCGCCCCTAGAACACGGCCACCACTTCTTTCCACATACAGTACAGGGTGACATTATTCCAACGAGGTTTGTCAGGATAGGGGTTTCCTCCTGCTTCCTCATGCTCAAGGAGGGTCTCTGAGAAATGCCATAAAATGCCCGGTAAACCTGTTACACTTGTTTCCACAAGGAGTACAAGTCGTTTTTCTGAACACTGGAGGAAACAGCCAGGACACTGGAGGCTTTCCGACAGTGAACTCACAGTAAGGCAGGCATTCTGCAGCATGATTCAGTTCATGCACAAACACGCATCATGGAAGCCAGAGTTTCAGGAGAGAACTACATTCCCGCTATTCTCTAACACCATACTGGTTGTAATTCCTGACCCACTCATGGGCTGTGGTCCAGTTTGATGAGCACAGATCCGAGAAGCCCTAGAGCCCTGTAACCCTGGGTCTCTGTTCACCTGGGGCCTGTTCACCTGCCTAGCCACTGTGTGGCATGGCAGAGGCAGCTTGGCAGTCTTACCTAGTCCTGGCTGCAATGTGCAGTGTCTGCAGCAGACAGTCCTGCCTGGGCTGGGGGCCCCCTGCCCACCCCTGCAGACCCAGACCACCTGAGCACAAGGGACCTGTTGGATTGTAGAGGTTCGAGTGGGTGTTGCCACACGTCAGTCAGTCTCCCCTCTGCTCACGGTTATGGTGACCTTGGCTCTATGATGTCCATCTTTCCTCCCACATAACACTGTCAAAGCCGTCATGAGCTGAGTGCATGGGCACTCACCGTAGTCACACGACATGACATTAGGCTGGTCAATAGCTCTGTAGGAGTTTTGTCAAACTCATTGTGCCCTTCTGGAGCAAGAATCAAATAAACTTCAAATTCATGCTAATTTGTCCCTTTTTTAATTAAACAACAAAAAGACAAACTCAGAACAAGGAAACGTGTGGGTGATATCAATGGTGCCTGTTGAAGTTGGAGCTGTTACTCATGTGTGATGTGGCTCAGGAAAATCACAAAAGAGTTTTAAAATAATGGCAGTGGTGACTTTACAGTGATCACAGGATTCCATTTGTGCCTCCTAAAGGGTTACTGTTCAAACAGCTTATTCTGATATTGGCAAGGCCTCACTGACAGCAGGGAGGAGCTATGTCACTGCTCCAGCAGGTTCAACAGGCTTCACCGAGAAGTTCATCAAAGAATATCAAACTAACAGCTGTTAAGAGACTTGGTTAGCTCACTGTACCACTGACCTACTGAGCTCTTGCTTTTTTTCATCAGTGATTCCTGTTAGACACTGGAGTACTTTACATCTTGGTGTAGTGGGTCTCTAGGAGGAGTTACTAGACATGTAGGGCCTGTTCTTTATTATCTGGAGTCCATAAACTGCATAGCAGAGGGTTTCAAAAATGAAACCATAATAAATGCCAGTAGAATCCACACCAAGCCCTGGCCAGCCTCCAGGCTGACAGACACTACATGTTAAAAAGCCAGTTTCTAGCAGGGATGAACTCTGTTCTGTTAGTACTTTCGGATCAAGATGTCCCAGCTGTCTTTCCAACGAAGGGCCCTGAGTTCACTTGGGGAGAGAGACGTGTCCCCGTATGTGAGTGGGCGCAGGGTGTTGAACACGTGACAGGCGGAGGAATACCATGCCACCACCAGGGCACTGAAGATGTTCCTCTGCAGCTGAGACCTGTGGGCATCAGGGCCAGCATTTGAGTAAGGCACTTCCTGCTGCCTACCCAGCTGTCCTCTGCATCCTTACTGTCCCGTCACCTATCAAGTGCTGTACGTTTTACTTCTAGTCTCTCACTATCCTTTGCAGTCCTGCTTCCCGCCCAGGCTTTCTGCCCCTGTCCTTTCCTGCTTGGTCACTCACCTACCATAGGGCTGTGGCCAACCTGACAGAAGATGCCACAGTATTGCCCCCAAACCCAGCTTAGCCACTTACAGACCTCCTGAAGTACCTCAAAGTCCATGCCTTCCAGAATTCATTCGAGCTGAAAAACTCTCAAAGCTCAGCTCTACCTATACACAAGACCTGGCCAACAGGGACCACAGCGCCAGCATGTGCCCCACCCACATGGTCCAACTTTCATCTGAGTCAGCGGTCACTTCCTGAATTCCCACAGTGCCTTGTTCCAGGCTCTTCTGTGAACTTAGTGTACGTGGCGCTGACTCCCACCCTCCTCATCCTGTCGTACATGGAGTTTCAGTAAAGGTTCCTGACTGACTGAGGAGACCTAGGAGGTCCTCTTAACTGACACCTGCCTTCTGCTCATGACAGTAACAGCTTCAAGTGCACATGATACTTAGAAGAGGCCCAACTGGAAAGATCCCGTACCTGCACAGGTGGTCGCTCACGTGCTGCAAGACCACAGGGAGCAGGATGATCTGGAAAGTGAGCGCCGGCAGGTAGTGATAGAGGAAGAGTGTCTTCTCCATCAGGAAGAAGGGGAGGTAGTTCACTGCCCAGCCCCCACAGCACAGGGTCCCAGCCAGCACCCAGCGTAGCCAGCAATCTGGAGGGAAAGGTCCTTGGGTTAGCTCTATGGGAGCTCTCCACTGACTGAGTGGGCTGACTCGCCTCTTGTATGACACACGTTCTTTGTCTGATCTGTCTTTACCTCCTCTCCTTGCCTCTCTGGAGACAAGAATGGCCTGTCATAGAAGCCTTTCTCCCAGGCCCCCACCTTAGCATGTTTACATAGGCTCTCCATTGGCCTGGACCACATGGACCCATCTCGTCTTGCCTGGGAATGCTGAGACTAAGACTCCGGTGGGATCTGTGAAGGAGTAATGTTTGTCCCCCTATACAGTGGAGGAGGGAGGATCTGTTGAGAAGATGGACTGGGCCTAGAGATGAACAAAGTGTGAAAGACCAGCATCAGTCTGATGGCCTCTGGTCTAGCTCAGGCTCTCATGGAACCTGTCCATTAGGGGTTTTCTCCTTTCTGCTTTAAGATGGGTTTAAGTGGGTTTCTGTTACTTGCACCACAACAAGCAGTGACTAACGGTGACTGCTGGTTCCTTTTTCCAGCTTTGTTTTCAGAGGGATCAGGAAACAATGCCTTCAGCCAGGGCTCCTGCTCCATCAGAGAGTTCTTTCTCCCTGCCGGGCAGCCATGCACTATACCAGGAATCCTCTAATGCAAAGGGAGAACCTAGCTGCAGAGTGGCCCTCAGGAAGACCAACATGATTTACGCTCCCTCATTGCAGAGAAAGGAGTCCTGGGGGTGCTATAGGGTAGGCACTGGTCTGTTAACTGCAAGATTGGCAGTTCAAACCCACAGGAGAAAGGAGAGGCTGTCTGCTCCTGTAAAGATTTCTAGTCTTGGAAACGCTAGGGAGAAGTTCTACTCTGCCCTACAGGGTGACTATGAGTTAGAACTAACTTGATAGCAGAGAGTCATTGCATGTGCCTTACAGTGTACAGTGGGCTTGTTTGTCTGACTTGGGCTGTTATGGAGCATGCCAATACACCATGCTCTCAGGGGAACGACAAGCAAGAGACGTCCAAACGAGACAAGTACAAGCTGTGCTGACCCTCTGGGAGGTCGCAGGTGTTCCTTCGCCGTCGGAGCAGGTACCACAAGAAGAGTAGAGCGTAGGTCACCATGGCGAGGCTGGCCGAAGCCCAGATCACGATGTTCCCCAGTAGGTGAATCTGCGCCTATAGACACATAGGAGACCCTGTGAACCACATCCCTTCTGTGCAGAGGAAAGACTATGAGAGATTCCAATGTGCGTGGCCCTTCAGTGAGAAGTTAACCAGAGGTGTACATCTTAGCATCTGTGAGCCCTATTACCGATATGGGCATATACCCTGCCCCGCGTGACCCACAGAGTAAGCACTGGACTACGAACCACAGGGTCAGCAGTTGGAGCCCAGCAGCCGTTCCACAGGAGAAAGATGAGGCTTTCTGTCCCACACAGATGTCAAGCCTCAGAAGCCCTATCCAGGGGTGCTCTGAGTTGGAACCAACTCAACTGCACTGCACAACAACAACCTCCATGATGAGATCTGCTATGAGCAGCTAATCAACTGAAAGGAAGTTTTCTCAGAGGTGTGGCCTGCAATGTGTTTTATCTTACAAGAAATAAAAGAAAGGAGAGAGAAGTGAGCAGAGAGGGACCTATTTATTACCAGCAGGAAAGAATAGCTGGGAGGGGAGTGCATCCTTTGGGGTCTCTGCACTGTGAAGCTCCTAGATTCAGGGAAAGATTCCTGTCAAGACACATGTACATTTCAAAGGACTAAGGTTCTCAATTTTGTACAACTGAAAACAGGGAGAAGGTAGGCTTCATTTGAATGACTCAGCCACTCAGAAGAGTCTCAACATCACTCCAAGGCTACCCCAGTATTCAAACTATGAACTCCCGGTACTGGCTCTGTGTGCTTTCATTTCAGATGCTGTTCTGCAGTCTTCAGCCTCTCTCGCCCACTGCCAAGTATGACTATTGACTCAGCACCAATTCTGTGCCAGCCCCAACGAAGCTTTCATTCTGTTAGCTTAAGAGAGCTATGTGCATAAACAAAGCACTTATCGCTGTACAGACAACAAACAAGGAATACTTTAACAGCCTCTTTGCCAGAAGGAGGCGCCCCATTGGAGCAGTGTGTTAAGTGTTGGACTGCTAACCACAAGGTTGGTGGTTCAAACCCACCAGCCTCTCTATGGGGAAAAAGTGAGGCTATTGGTTTCCATTAAGATTTACAGTCTGAGAAACCCAAAGGAGCAGTTCTACTCTGTCCTATGGGGTCACTCTGCGTTGGAAATGACTGGATGGCTGTGAGTTTTTCTTTTGCCTGAGGGCAACTCTGCACTCTCACAAAGCAATAAAGCAGGGATTTCCTTCGACAAGCCGACATGTTTGGGCTGCAGTTCTCAGTGTTTGGCAAAGCACTGACCTATAATGCTAAAATGCTTACAGAAAAGCAAGTCACAGGGTAAGTTAGGTTCTGAAGACCTCTGGGATTTTGTAGGATGCCGTGGCTGATCTTAATGTGAGACGGAATGCTCATGGCATGAGACGAGCCTAGGGCCACTGGCTGTTAAGAAATTCCCACTCACACTGGTCTTAGGGTGCATCCAGTAGGCAATGTTGGTGTCCAGGGTGACCCACTCCAGTGGGGTGGAGCTGTACTTGTGCTCCGAGTCGTCGGCCCTCAATGTCAGCATTCGCCACTGGAAGAAAAACAGAGGCCTCTTAGACTCAGCATGATGGTCAGACACCTTCACTCGAGCAGGGCTTTGGCAGAGAAGTCATACTGCACTGCATCGGGGACCAACCCCACCCCTTCTGGGACATGTCCAACTCAAGCTCATTTGGGCCAGCGAGCGAGGTTGCTTCTCAGAGACCTGACTTCTAGTCCTGGCCAGTCTGTACACTACGTGACTGGACTCTATGCTCTCTGAGGCCCTTTCGGATACAGGGCTCTCCAGTTTTATGACTCTTATGTGGCTCATTCTGACCTGACCAGAGGCACCCTGCCAATGTTGCCCCGTTACACTGATGTCGAATCTCCTCAGTTCCAGACTAAGACTATTTCTGGCTGCAAGGCACAGGGTTACCAGTGCCATCCTCGCCACTTATAATTACGAGAGGGGAAGTCTCTGGAGACCCGCATTTAACTAGTGAGTCAGGTTCCAGCTAAGAGACTGGATGTGTGCGGTGAGGAACTCCAGAGATGACAGTGCTTTGTTAACAGAGCCAGTTTCCAACGTTCGCCCTCCCTCTGACTGAGTGGTGGAGTCACCTGTAGTTCGGAGAACCTGGCCATGAAGCTGAGGTTTCTGCTGACATCAACCTGCGTAGGTGAGTGCAGTTCCAGCTCCCTCTCCTTCTGCTCCTGGCCTGACAGCGCCATGGAGCACAAGAACAAGAAGAGAATAAGGATGGCAGCTCACAACAGAAGCTGTTCCCCTGATTTTCAAACAACCCACAAGTACTCTTCACCCAAACGCAGCCTTCCCTTCTGTTTTCCATACCAACTGCCACCCCATGGAAGTAAGATACTTTGGCCCTTAGGGCGTCCAGCTTGCAGTGGGATAAATTAGCTGCCTTGCAAGGGTAAATAAAGGTAGTAATGTGCTTGTTTCAGCAAAGTACAGGAAGGACAGTGAGTGTCCCGGGAAACATGCTTGGTGCCCACCAGAGGGGCTGGCATCTTATTAAAGTGCCACGTCCATCCCCGTCCACTGACATCAGGCCAGGACTTACTTTTCCCATACCGGTGCTCTTCCACGTTCCACACCATGCTCTCATGGAACATGCCCCTGAATAGCTTCTCCCCAACCACCTCTAGCTGCCGGAAGCCCCAGTCAGGAAGGTGCGCCCCGCTCAGCTGGCAGAATGTGGAAGCAAAAAGAAGTATTATGGGACCGTCCAAGCTTCTCTGGGGCCAGGCACGTCCCCACGACCCTAGTCACTTTGTCGTTCTTGTCAGCAGCCAAGGAGGACAATCTGCATTTCCCCAATGGGATCTGCATGTTAGGATTCATACAGATGGTGTGAAATACATGTGACCATTGAGTAACCAAGACTAAAGAACTGAGGAAACAGATTTCGTGAGCTCACTACCTTTAAGATGGCAGACGTGTTCACATGCACCAGCCGAACCTCGGACATTATTGTCTTCCAGATATCTGCATCTGATTCTCGGTTGACAATCTCCTATAAAACAAGAGACCGTCTGCGACTTCATTTGTCCCCAAAGCCTTTAAATGTAAAATCAAAGACTAATGGCAAACTATGAAATTCACTTAAATCGAACAGAAAGAGACACGCTCCCAAGGGGAAATGACAGGGATCATTCTGGATGCCCCCGCGGATACGCTTCAGGATACATGTGGTCCCAGCCAGAAGCCGTGAAGATGCTCAATGCTCCTGCTTCAGGCAGCACCGAGAACATCAGGAGAGGCCTGAAGAGACGGGTGACCCTCATGGCTTTTCTGTAGTGAGCCACTAGACAGGGCTCAGGACTTGGGTCAAAATGATTTTCAGCCCTTAATCTGCACACAGACGATGACTCCAGTGAAGTTAGAAAATGAACCTCAAAGAGGGGCTCACAAATGAGGGAGTGACTGTTAGGTCTGTCGGTTCCAACTCAGCAAGGCCATGTGAAGGAGCGGAGCTGTCCTACAGGGTTTTCTTGGCTGTCGGCTTTCTAGAAGCAGATTGCTAGGACTTTCTCCCTTGGAGCTACTGGGGGCGGTTCAAACCACTAACTTCTAGGTTAGTAGCTGAATGTTTAACTGTCATGCCACCAGAGCACCCCAAACCAAAAAAAAAAAAACCCATTGCCATCAAGTGGATTCCAATTCATAGCGACCCTACAGGACAGCACAGAACGGCCCCCTAGGGCTTCCAAGGCCGGAATCCTAACCGAAGCAAACAGTCTCATTTTTCTCCCATGGAACAGCTAGTGAGTTCAGACTGCCAACTTTTCAGTTAGCAGCTGAGCACCGTGCCACCAGGGCCCCTCTGCTATGGGACAGTAACAAAAACAAGCAGTATCAGTCCAGCACTTTCCACCCATCTGGTTTGATCTCACCGCCATGCCCACAGTGGGAAGTTACAGAGAGGTCAGTCAGACTCAGGGGGGCAGACAGGAGCTGCCTGTGGCCTGAACTTCAGTGTTTAGGAATGTGGGCATGCAATGCCTCAAGAGGGACTGAGAAGCCAGTAGAATAATAGATAGGTAGGGGGTGGGGGGGCAACTGTACTATGCATACCATAGAATGCTCAACCATCTGAAATCAAAAGGGCAACATTTACTTAAGGGCAACATTCAGAAGGGTGGGGAAAGGAGGAGGAATGGAAACAGGAACACAGGGAGGAAGTAGGATGGGGTGATGTTACATTGGGGGGGGGTGTTGTGCAATCATTGAGATGAAACAAAATACATGATTTATTGAATGTAAAACTGAGGATATGCTCTGTAAACCTTCACTCAATTCACAACAAAAACGGTTCAAGGAGGAGAAAAGGGATCAGTGGTGGAACCATCAGTAGCAGAGAGCAGAAAGTGGGACCTGGCGCAAGTGGGGGCAAGAAAAGACTTTACACAGAAATTCCAGTGGAGGAATCCCCACGAGAGACTCCCCTCAAAGACGGGAACACCAGAGGAGCGAATGGAGACACAAAACACACACGAATACTTGCAGCACAGTGAGAGGAAGGGGTAACGGTGCTGGCCCTGCACAACCCATGTACCCAGGGGAGCAGTAGCCTGCCCAAATTCATGTCTATCTGAAACCTCAAAATGGGCCCTTATTTGGAAACCGGGTCCATGCAAATGTAATCAAGTTCTGGTGCCCTTACAAGGAGAGGACATGGAGACACATGCTGAGAAAATGGCAATGTGAAAATGGAGGCAGAAATTGGAGTGGTATGTCTATAAACCAAGTAACAACCAGGATTGTAGTAACACTATAAACCCAGAGAAAAGCACAGGACAGTTTTCTCTCCCTCAGATCTGATAGAAGGAACCAACTCTGAAGAGTTCAGACTTCCAGCCTCCAGAATGGTGAGAGAACCCACGTCTACTGTCTTAAGATGCCAGTTTGTGTAAGTGTGCTAAGGCAGCCACAGGGAACTCCCAGAGCTTTGTGGAGAAGGCCAGTGAGCAGGCACTGGATCAAGCTGGATGTAATAATTCACTGTGTCCAGACCAAAATGGCGTGGGTGAGTCAAAGTGTGGAACTGCTGCAGTCAACTGGGGGTGGACAGCAAGTGCCACACACCACAGAGATCATTTGGGTGTGGGCATAGTCACTATCAGACTAGCTGTACCAGAGGGCTTCACAAAGGTTGTGGGGAAATGGAATGAAAAGATAGCAGAATTTTTCTAATAACTTTTTGAAGCCCCTTTGTACAAGGATGAATCAAAAAGTATTCCCACTTTAGTTACATTAAAATACCTGTCAACATCCACGGCTGATGACAATACTGATCATGCATATGAAATTAATCTGTCAACTAGATTGTGACCATGGATTATGTGGTAAATCATTTGCAAATCAACCACGGCTCTACCTACAAAACAGTCCACGACAGACTTGGGTTTTGAAAAGTTTGTCTGAGATGGGTACCAAAACAACACATGCGAAAGCAGAAGCAGAAGCAGTTGGACATCTGCAAACAAAATTTAGACTGATACTCAAAAGAATGTAAAAGTTTTTTTTTTTAATTGTTACTGGTGACAAGACATGGATTCATCACTGCGAGCCTGAGAGGAAATGGCAGAATATGGAATGGAAACTTCCTCAATCGCCAAAGAACAAGTTCAAAACGCAACCACCAGCTGGAAAACTGATGCTCACAGTTTTCTGGGAGTTGCAAGGGTCAGTATTAGAACGCTATCAGGAAAAAGGTTCAACAATCAATGGTGCTCATTACAGTGAGATGCTCACTGAAGACCTGAAGTCTATAAATTCAGATTAAACACAGAGGACTGTTTCTCAAGGGCATTGTGATCTTGCATGACAATACATGTCCCACACCTCTGCAAAAACTTGTTTTTGAGGTGTTATAGCATCCTTCCTATAGTCTTAATCTTGCTCCATCAGACTTTCACCTGTTTGGTCCCCTGAAAACAGCCCTTTGAGGACGAAGATTCACCTCTGATGAAGAAGTGAAGATAGTGGTGCATTCATGGCATGCTACTCATCCTAAAACATTTTTAAATAAAGGAATATGAAAGCTTGTGATAGGTGGGCAAAGTGTATTGAAAAGCAAGGTGATGTTGAAAAATGATGTATTGACCTTTTCTAAAAGTTGAATGCAGATCATTTCTGAGTCACTCTCATATTTACCTCACTTCCTTGAACTCCAAGATGATGAGATGCCCAGTAATTTCTTCTGGTCACCTTTCCCCGGAGACTCATGTGCAGTCCCAGACAGTGACAGCTATCAGGTCCCCTGGACCCCCTGGAGAGGCAGCCACAGGGCCCTGCAGCCTCAGGACAGGGACTCAATGGTCAGGCCTCTCCCCAGGAAATGGTTAATTTCAGAAAAGGATTCATAGGAGAGGCTCCGTGGTTGCAGGAGCGTGGCTGGAGCCCACCCCATCTCCTTCAGTGAGACTGAGCAAGTGCCCCAGTCAGGCAGAGCTGCCTGTGACCCACATGGAGCCCGACACTAAACAAGCCAGGAACAGCTTAAAAATCTTGCTGTAATCTTCTGATATAGGATACAACTCGAATCCCAGTTTCCTTGTGAAAACATCTATAATCTTTGTATTTTTGAAATGCTAATATTATTATTTTTTTCTTTTTAAACTTTCTATTGTGAATTAAGTGAGGGCTTTCAGAGTAGATCTCTATGACCCCTTCTATGTGTGAGCGTCACATAGCCAACTTGACATGAATCAGAATTAGTCTGTGTGCAGTTGCACAGCTCACTGTGGGCAAGTGTGCGGGAGCTCACCAGTCTCCAGAGGTTCTGAGCAGGCATGGAGATGTTGTAGTCAATGTAACAGGAGACCTCCTGGGAGTGAGGGCTCAGAGGGGCTGCGACATCATGCCTGGAAAACCAAAACAGAGTTTCCAGAAGGAAGTCTTCACACTACCTTTCAACACTCCTCTGAACGCCGTTCACTGTGTTTGCAATAAAGCTAGCTTGACCCTAAAGGACAGCCTGCTCCTGGTCAGTGGCCATAGCCTGAGAATGCCATGCCTCAGAGCTTGGAGGTACCACCACGCCACTTCTCAGCCGAGTATGCCAAGTTTCAGAGGGAGGTCACCAACCACACGAGAGCTGGGAAATTCCCATGTCTGTACCCCAGCGCAGGCCAGAAGCACCTTGCCACTCTGAACAAAGAGAAGCAAGGATGCAAACCTCAAACAGGAATACTCACGTGTTGAGGAGGCGGGTGGTCATGCCATGTACCAGTTGCACGATGTCTCCATGCCGTACTGGCCTCGGAGGGTTGTTCACCACCAGCTGGTGTCTGGAAAGGCAGAGGAAAAACTGGCATGGGTTTGACCTCACGGGCCCAGGGCCCTCTCCAAGTGACAGTACTTTCCAGGAGTGCCAGCAGCTACACTTCCCATACCAGAGACAGGTGGAAAGTTGTAGCTTTGTACCTCACATTAAGTGAGTATAAAACAAAACACATAAATTGTATTGAACTCTTTCTGAAAATGACTCAATGTGATTCCAAACACACTGCATTGGCTGTGAGCACATTTCAGCTGCTCTATAGTGTCTATAAGGAGCTCTGGTAGCACAGTGCTTACGAATCGGGCTGCGAAACTTAAGGTCAGCAGTTCGAAACTACCAGCTGTTCTGCGGGAGAAAGATGAGGCTTTCTGCTCCTGTAAAGATTTACAGCCTCGGAAACTCTGTACAGGGTGGCTATGAGTCGATTCCAACTCCACGACACATAACCACCACCACCATATTGTCTATGAATGCCACAGTGACAAATACATCGTGGCTGCCAAGAAATCCTTCAGACAGACTCTCGTGCTCAACATCTATTCAATACACATGTACAAAATGCCTATTCAGGAGAAAGACAAGGCTGTCTGCTCCTGTAAAGATTCAGCCCTGGAAGCCCTATACAGGGTTGCTGTGAGTGGGAATCAGCTTGACAGCAGTGGGGAAGTGCTCACTGTACTCCAGACCCTGGGTTGGGTGGTGAGTACACAGTGTCAAAAATGACACAGATGGTCCATGGCGTTCACATTATTGCAAAACCAAAAAAGTAAACCCACTGTCAACGAGTTGATTCCAACTCACAGTCACTGTATAGGACAGAATAGACTTGATCCATAGGGTTTCCCAGGATGTACATCCTTGAGAAAGTAAACTTTCCCCCACACAGTAGCTGGTGGGTTCCAACTGCTGGAATTTTGGTTAACAAAAAGTCAACCAAAGTCAACCAGACAACAAAGTAAAAAAAAAAGTCAACCAGACAACAAACACATTGAAGTACTGTACCACCAGGGCATTGCTGTAGTGAGCGGTGGGGGAAAACCAGACATCAAAACAAGTGAACAAGAAAAGAGCAGCAACCAATGACAATGGACATAGGAAGCCAACGGGGACAGTGATAGAGAACGGTGGTCAAGGATGTGCCGTCAAGCATTAAGAGGGAGCCGGCGGCTCCACTATCAGCCGCTCTGAAAGGAATCACGTTAGAAGGTCCCAGCTAAAGCAGGAGAAAATGTGGGACAAAACTCAAAATCATAAAAAAAAAAAAACCTGGGCTGACTGGTCAGAAAGAGACAGGAGGAACCTGAAACTATGGCGTTCAGCCATGTTTCAGGTCTGGAGAGGAACTCACTCTCATGGCCCAACTTTCAGCTAAGCAGTAGGTAAGTATATAGTGGGGACAATAGCGCTAGTTAGGCGTACTCACCATGGAATGGTCAATCATTCAAAATCAAAAGGGCAACATTTATTTAAAGATGAAGTTGACAAGGATGGACAGGTGGGTGGAATGGAACTAGGAACCACAGGGAGGAAGTGGGATAACTGCTGTTACAGGGAGGGGATTGCAGTCATTGAGATGAAACCAAGTCCATGATTCGTTGAATGAAAAACTGATGATCTGCTCTGTAAACCTTTACTCAACTCCCAATAAAAAGTTAAAAAAGGAGGAGGAGGAAGAATCAGCCAGGTAGAAGCACTGCAGACAGAGGAAGCAGGCTACACAGAGCCCTGTAGCAATGGTTTGTCTTGTTCTAGAAACCCAGAGAGTCGGTGGATGGGTCCTATAGCAGGGGCAGGACAGACTGGAGGCTGGAGGCTTCAGCAGGAGCAGATGGCGTAGGGCCTGGATTCGATTCTAAGTGCACTGAAGCTCAGAGAGGGATCTGAGCAGAAGAAGGAATTTACATTGTAACAGACCACTCTGTGCCTACTGAATGCTGGGGACTGGTGGGGACAATCAGTCAGTCACGGACAGGGAAAAAGGGAAGATATGAATAGTTCAAGATCTTGTTTGGAAGCAGGATCACCAGGGCTTGCTTATGGGTTGGCATGTGGGGATGGTCCTCATCTCTGAGGTCTAAGCAAGGGAGCCCTCTGGATGAGGAAAAGGTCAAGAGGAAGGAGCCCCTATTTTTGTGTGGAAGTGAGACTGGCGGTGGGAGAGGGGAATTTTATGTAAAACACCCAAGAGGAGATACTGAGCAACTGGTTCCCATCTGAGTGTGGCCCAACGGGAAATAAGCTGACCTTGGTGGACCCTGGAATTACCAACACTGCGAAGGTAAATGAGATTACTCACTGAGCAAGTGGAGACAGAGGACTGAGCCCCAAGGAGCTGGTCTGATCAAGAGGCGAGGTAAGCTCTGGACTCACCTCCCAGGATCCTTTATAATCCACCAGTTGTTGACATCTTTGAAGGGGTAACAAGTCACCTGCTGCTGATGGGAGCTTCCCCGGCCATTCTCATATCTGTATGAAGAAGATGACAATGACATGTGTCTAGAAAGGGCCAGAGATGGGCCAATAGGCCTTCCTCCCCAGGCAGGGCTCAGCAAGACATCAAAGGTTACCCAGCAAGGTGTGGAGGACAGACTAAAGAGAAAACAGAGAAGGAACTGAAACCTCACAGGGGTGGAACACATGAACCCAATGGTGCTAGAGTCTGGTAGAAACGACCCATGCATGGGAGGTGTGGAGCTGGTGCAGTGGAGGGCAGTGGGGCCCTCTGCCTACAAGGCTTCCTCCTCTTCACACAGAAATAGCCAGACAAATGTCTTCATGTGAAGTGTAAGTTGATAAAACAAGCAACGTGGCGTAAACACATATGTAACCTTTGTACTAACGTGGCCACTTCCCTTACATCATGGGGTAGGTGTTCTGGTGGGAGTGAAGCCAGCAGGGCACGGGCTTGCCAAAGACGTTCTTCAGAGTGACCTGGGAGCCGTAGGCCACCTCCAGGGGCTGGCCCCGTGTGATTCGGGCCAGTCCTCCCTAAGAAAAAGCACAAAGGCCAACAAGTCAGAGAGAGAAACAAACTCAAACTCATTTTCTGGGGTGGGTCTACCTCTGGGGGACAACAGGGTGCTGGCAATGATGCCTGCAAGTCTGTGATTATCTGTAACAGCACACCATCACAGTTCTGTCACTGGCTGAAGGCTGCCTTGGGGCTAGCACTCAGTAACACCTGCCACAGTGCCTCCTCATTTAGCCTCACTGTGAGATAAGAGCAATTGTATGTTCCTTTGAGAGATAAGAAAACAGACTCTTGGTTAAGAAAATGTGGCCATCAGCAGAGCAGGGATTTAAAAGCAAGTCTGTCAGACTCCAGAGTCCACACTCCAACTGCTCCACTGGAACATTAGCGATTTGCACTGAGTGAAGGCAGTACTGAATATAGAGTTAGGTGTGTCCTTTACGGCACGTGGAAATGTCCAGACTTTACAGGACTTGACTTTAAGACGTTCTCAAGCAGATCACCCTGAACACCTGAGAAAACCATGCTGTTCGCTCCTTCCAGACCATCCATGTACTCAAATTTAGTTTAGAAATACTGACACAGAGTCCTGACTTGTTACTTGTTTTTCCCTTTCAGGCTCACTTGATGAAGTTTCTATGAGACCAACTTAGAAACGACCACATTCTTTCTAAAGTGGCCATGACTTTCCATGGCTTACCTCCAAGCTGGCCTGGAATGCACTCGACATGATTTGATCATGGGGCCCAGAGCGGTAGAGTAGAATCAAGTGGACGTAGAAGAAAAGTAAGTACATGAGGGATGGGATGACCAATAAAGCCACTGCTCTGGCCAGCAGGTGACAGAATACACACACCTGCCAGAGATTAAAGAAAGAATCACCTTCCACGACACGTACAGACACCACATGCTTAACAGGAGTTAGTGACAGAGATCCCACCCCTCACCCTCAGCGCTCCCCTGAGCTCTGGTCTCTACACCTACGTTCGATAAGGTCTGCTCTCCAATCAGGTGCCAAGTGTGGACAGCAGCAATACAGAGCACAAGCAAGTATGTAAACAGACCCATGTATTTTATGCTGAAAAGACATAACGCAAAGTAAAATTTTCAATGAGACGTTAAAAATAAGGAGGTGGAAGAGAACATGTCTAAAACAAGTGGATCAAACTCACCCAACTGTGCAGGAACAAGCAACTCCCGTCAGCACTAACCAAAACCACCAGCTGCCAGAGAAAGGACTGGAATAAACCAGAAAAACAAAAATATTCCTGGAAGGCCAGGGAAGGTATATGTTTCTCAGAGAAATCTGTGTACTGAGCACCATGTACCAAAAAAAAAAAGAAAGAATCCCAGTCTTGCAGAGTATCAGTCCTGGCAGAATTTCCTTTGTTAAATCCAGAGAATGTTTCTTAGTTTAAGTTACTAGAAAATGAGGGTGTCTTTTTTAGTCAGGAGCTCAGGACCAATCTAAGTGCAGAAAGGCATTTAGCAAGCAGCCACACACACAAAAAAAGTAGCACAGCTCAGGTATAAATAAACCACCCATACCCTTCCCCCGTTTCCAAAACAGGAGACACCTCATCTTCCTCACCTGTGTTTTTGGAGGTTGGAAAACTTCAGGTAGGACAACACTGACAACAGGTTAAAAAATATAAGCACGGATTCCAGGAGGATCAGTCTTGACTGAGTGATGAGCGCATTCTCTGTGAGGAAGAGAAGGAAAACACAAGGCATGTAGGAGAAGGCGTGCGAAGTGGGGCACTCAGAAAGGAGTGATGGGGTGGGAGCTGCGGAGGTGAGTTCTTAGCTTTGAATCAGCCAGGAGCCTGAGTCATCCCACAATTGATTGTGGATGTCCAGGGTATGCATCTGTCCTCTGAGCAGAAGATGCCCACTAGCCCCACAAACTCTCCTAGCACTAACAGCAAAGAGCAGCCCAGCCTAGGGCATGGTTCTGTCCTTTAGCACCAAGAGGAAGAAGGCAGAGGTCCAGGTCTTACCTATCAGCATCAAGAGAGCAGCTCCCATGGCGGTGCAGTGAGAAAAGTTGAGTTCTAACACTATCTGGTAGGTCATGGGGACCGAGAAGGCCCCTGCGAGAGCTGGCAGCAAGCGCAAGGACCAGACAGGCACGTTGCTGCTATATTCTGGAAAAGCAACCACACGGGGGCGCTGAGAACACTATGTACTCAGCCCCTCCACACTCACAGGCATACCTTTAAACACAGCATCCTTGAGTCCTAACATCTAAACTGCACATGTGCAAAGTTGGGCACCAGCTCAGCAAACAAGTATAAACTCTGGGTGAGGATTTTACCATATTCAAGAAGCCAGTTCTCACTAACCCTAGCAATGCTGACTAAGAATTCTGAAATTAGTTGCTTTTCACTTTTTAAAATTTCCCTCCACTTGCTTTTCAAAAACAATGGCAACATGCAGAAGATGAATGAGCTCAGATGCCATGTAAAGAAAGAGTTGGATAAGTGTACCAAAAGTGAGAGAGAATGTAATCACTATAACAAAACACTAAGGTATTTACTAGACTTTTCGTTTAAAAAACTTTAGACCCAAATAACTGATCATACCTTGGACTCAAGACTACTAAGCTATACTTTCAAACCCCTAAAAAAGCCACTATTTTCTCCATTTTGGTTAAGCATAAATTAATATGGAAGAGAAATGAATGGGACACGTTACCTGCTCCAATTCTGTTCCACAAAAAGTTACCATCAAATCCTCCTAAATAACCTAAAACAAAAGTGTCATCAGTTAACAATTCATTCAGCTAATATTTCTGGAGTACCAAACTGTGGCAGGCCATAGAAAAACAATGATACATAAATTGTAAGATGTGGTTTCTGCCCTCAAGAAATTTGTAAAGGTTCTAGAGGCCCGAGTCAATGACTGTTTCTCCCCCAACCTGCCTACCTCCCAAGGCCAGCAGCATGTGGCCCAAAGGTGGTCCGCTGCCATCTAAGAAGAAGATCCGTTTCATGTAGAAAGAGATGTACTGTCCATAATATACTTCATCAAAACTGCAAACAAAACCAAAGAAAACCCACATTACATTCTATGCCAAATCCTAACCACAAAGGAAAGGTGTGAGAATAGCATACAAGTGTGTTTCTAAACCACAGTGGGTGAACAATCAGCAAATGTTGGATCTTTTGCTCCAACAGTGGCATCCCATTCCCAAATACTGAGACATACACGGTTGAACAACATGGGAGTTGGGGCGCTGATCTGAAAATCTGAATATAATTTACAGCTGACCCTTGAACAGCACTGGCTTGACCTTTGTGACCCCATTTATACATGGATTTTTTTCCCCCACACTGCTATTGAGGAGAGAGATCTCAAGTGTTGTGAGTAGCTGCTGGAAATGTCATGTGATACTGATCATCTCCACTTGAACAATTCGTCTCTTCAGTTAAAAGGATGCTCATAACACTTGAACTCTCTGCAATAGTAGCAGGATGAGAAATCCACGAATAAGTGGGCCTGCGCTGTTGGAACCCATGTTATTCAATAGTCAACTGTACATACAATCCATCCATGGCACAGAGTGGAAAATTCAGGAACTCAGGACACACGCCCAATACACACTCTACTTCTCCCTGGTGTTTGTTTGATTTAGGTGTGCACTATCAGCTGCTCTGTTGATAAGCCTCAGGGACCCAAGGCTAGTCCCCCTGGTCCATCAGCACAGACTGTGACCAGGAGTCAGAATCCGACCTGGTGACCCAATGAAACAGACCCAGGAATAAAAGTGAGAGAGGGAAGTGCCAAGTTCAACCAGACATACAGGGACATTTGATGAAACTAAGGAATTACTGTCCATTTCTTGTGGTTATGTGATTTTCTTATTTAAGAACACTTACCTTTTAGAGGTATACACTGAATATTTTATGAATCAAATATAATGTCTAGGATTTGACTCAAAATACTACATTGCAGGGAGGGGTTTCCTATGACTTGATCATCTGTGAAGCTGGGTAGTGAGGCTCTGGGTCAGAGGAGGTCATTATACTTTTCTTCCTACTTTTGCATACATTGGCTATTTCCCACAACTTCACAAAAAAAGAGTAGATTCGTGTTTAATAATGACAGCAGTCATTCACATTTGACAAAAATCATAATCTAAGGTGGTTCAAGATCACCAACCCTTCTTACGAAACCCTATTCAGGGTCAGAATCGACTCAGCGGCACTTAACAACAAGGTCAACGAAGGCTCACTGCCAAATCCATCCATCTTCCACCGTTTCAGGGCTTGGCTGTTAATTACAGCCAGGAGCAGATTCTTCAACAGCCCGAACAGTCCTCCCCTCTACTGCCCCTGTTGAATGTGTCAAGTGTCACCTACTGCAGACTTGTGGGGCAAGATAAAAAATGTACTTTCTGTGGGGACTGTCTCAGGAACAAACTGGCCTCTCCTTTTATTGCCTAAACCACACATCACAAAGAGCCCGGCATTTCATCCTCTCACGTATCCCAAGTATACAACACATCCCAGTGCTTGTTGAATACCCAGGGGAATGGAAGACATGAGTTGTTTAACTTACACCACAGCCCGCGGGGAGGTGAGTCGCCACAGTCTACTCAGCAATCCCACTCCAGTAAGAGCTACGATGTTCAGGTTGATGTCCGCTGTCACCACTAGTGGCTGCCTCAAAAATCCCAACATCTCGTAGAAAAGTGGGAAGACACCCTGAAAAAGAAGGGACAAGCTCTCAGGGAGAACCAGAGGCTATAAAAAAGATCTCAAGCCACCCTGATTCCCAGAGGCACACGGGATATGCCGGAAGTCAGGAGGAACTTAAAGTACATCACTATGGTGGTTACTCTTATGCTGTCTAAAGAAGGTATTTGAAATGAACAAATCATTGATTTTGCAGAATTCTATCATGCGATTTCCAGCATAATTTCTATCACGAAGGCCATATTTTCCAACTACTGATACTTCCTCTTTACTCCCACATGGACCTTACCAGACAGAATACATAGAAATCAAATTGACTACATCTGCAGAAAGAGACTATGGAAAAGCTCCATATCATCAGTCAAAACAAGGCCAGGGGCAGCCTGTGGAATAGACCATCAACTGCTCATATGCAAATTCAAACTAAATCTGAAGAAAATGAAAACAAGTCCAAGAGAGCCAAAATATGACCTTGAATATATACCACCTGAATTTAGAGATCATTTGAAGAACAGATTTGATACATTAAACACTAAATACTGAAGACCAAAAGAGTTGGGGGATGACATCAAGAACATCAAACATGAAGACAGCAAAAAGTCATTGAGGAGACAAGACAGAAGGAAAAGGTCAAAATGGATGTCAGAAGAGACACTGAAACTTGCTCTCCAGTGTAGAGATGCTAAAGCAAATGGAAGAAATGAGGAGGTCCAAGAACTGAGCAGAAAATTTCAAAGATCAGCTTGAGAAGATAATGCCAAACATTACAACAAAATGTACAAAGATCTGGAGTCAGAAAACCAAAAAGGAAGAACACGCTAAACATTTCTCAAGCTGGGGGAACTGAAGAAAAAATTCAAGCCTCGACTTTCATTATTGAAAGATTCTCCAGGTAAATTATTTGATGATGCAGAAAGCATCAAGAGAAGATGGAAGGAATACACAGAGTCACTGTACCAAAAGGAAATGGTTCATGTTCAACTGTTTCAAGAGGTAGCATATGATCAAGAGCCAATGATACCGAAGGAAAAAATCCAAGGTGCACTGAAGGAATTGGCAAAGAACAAGGGACCAGGAATTGATGGAATAAAAATTAAAAATTTTCAAGAAAGTGATACAGCACAGGAGGCACTCACTCATCTATGCCAAGAAATTTAGAAGACAATTATCTGGCCGACTGATTGGAAGAGATCCATCTTTGTGGGCCATTCCAAAGAGAGGTGACCCAACAGAATACACAAATCATCGGACTGTCTCTTTGATATCCCATGAGAGTAAAGTTTTACTAAAGGTAATACAGAAACAGCTACAAGCATAACAGAGAACTTCCAGAGGTTCAAGCCAGATTCAGAAGAGGCCGTGGAACGAGGGATATCATTGCTGATGTCTGATGGATCTTGGCTGAAAACAGAAAATATCAGAAAGATGTTTACCTGTGCTTTATTGACTATGCAAAGGCTTTCGATGGTGTGGATCATGACAAGCTATGGACAATATTGCGAAGTATGAATATTCCGGAACACTTAATTGTGCTCATGAGGAATCTGTACATGGACCAAGAGGCAGTTGTTCGAACAGAACATGGGAACACTAGATGGTTTAAATTTAAGAAAGGTGTGCGACAGGGTTGTATTCTCTCACCATACTTAGTCAACCTGTATGCTGAACAAATAATCCAAGAAGCTGGGTTATATGAAGAAAAACATGGCATCAGGATTGGAGGAAGACTCATTAACCACGTGCGATATGCAGATGATACAACCTTGCTTGCTGAAAGTGAAGAGGACTTAAAATACTTACTGATGAAGATCAAAGAGCACACAGCCTTCGGTATGGACTGCATCTCAATGTGAAGAAAGCAAAAATCCTCACCACTGGACCAATAAACAACACTTTATCAACGGAGAAAAGACTGAAGTTGTCAAGGACTTCATTCTTCTTGGATCAACTATCAACACTCACAGAAGCAGCAGTCAAAAAATAAAACCTCGTATTGCATTAGGAAAACCTGCTTCACAAGACCTTTTTAAAGTGTTGAAAAGCAAAGATGTCAGCTTGAGGACTAAGGGTGCCTGACCCAAGTCATGGTATTTTCAATAACCTCATATGCATGTGAAAGTTGGACAGTAAATAAGGAAGACTGTAGAAGAATTAATGTTTTTGAGTTATGGTGTTGGAGGAGAATATTGAAAGTGCCATGGGCTGCCAAAAGAACCAACAGATCTGTGCTGGAAAAAGTGCAGCCAAAGTGCTCTTTGGAGGCCATGATGGCTAAACTTTGTCTCTCATACTTTGGACATATTGTCAGGAGGGACCAGTTGCTGGAGAAGGATATCAAGCTTGATAAGGTGGAGGGTCAGAGAAAAAGAGGAAGACCCCCAGCGAGATGGATTGGCAAAGTGGCAGCATCAATGGGCTCAAACGTGGTAACAGTAGTGAGGTTGGCCCAGGATCAGGCAGTGTTTCATTCTGCTGTGCATTAGGTCACACTATGAATTGGCACCAACTCAATGGCACCTAACAGCAACAACATTGTGCTTACTGCAAGTTCTACCAGCGTTTCCAAGCCAAGAAACAATACAAAACCAATGTTACTGTAAAGGCATTGGAGAAGAGGGGGCGGAGTAAGGCAATGAGCAAAAGGACAGTCAGTCAAGGCTGGAATTCAAGAATCTCAGGACTGAGCAATCACTCACTTCAACAACTCCCAAAACCTCCTGAGCACTCCCCAGGCAAACACCAGTTGCCAAGGAGTCAGCTCCAACTCAAGGTGAGACTTCACAAGGTTTGTTTTCATTTTTTAGTGTTTTATTTTTGTTGTTAGCAAGAATATACACAACAAAAAACATTATGAACTCAAGTTACTACTGGTACAATTCAATGATACTGATTTTATTCTTTGAATTGTGCAGCCATTCTCACCCGTCTCTGAGGTGTTCCTTCCTTATTCCTTATTAGCATACACTTACTGCCACCTAAGGTTCTCATTGGCGCTGTGGGTTAAGACACTGGGCTGCAAAGTTGGTTTGAACCACAAGGTTGGTGGTTCAAGCTCACCAGCTACTTCTCGGAAACCCTTGCAGAGTCGCTATGGGTTGGAACTGACTGGACAGCACTTAACGACAAGAAGATTGCGATCTAACCTTTCAAATTCCCATGGTCGGTCTGATTCCATATAGATAAGTCTTAAGCGAGCATAATACTTAGTCGGCACTCTACTAGTTTAGTTAAACGATTGTTTAGTTTTAAGAAGACTTCAGAGAGTATTTTTCCTTTAGGGTTTAAAGATTATTTTAGGGCGTTAGTTTCAGGGTTCATCCATTACTCCAGATAGGCTGCATTCCACGAATATTTGAATTTCTGTTCTGCATTTCCCCCCTCTTTGATCCATATTCTTCCAATAAAGACTTGGATCAAAATGTTCAGTAATGGTGTGGTTCAGCTGGACACTACACAGTTCTGCTTTCATGGCAAAGGAGCCTCCAAAGGATTTTCAATCACTGGTTTTCCAGATGTAAATCACCAGGTTTTTCTTCTGAAGTGTTTTTGGGTACACTTGAACTGTCTACCTTTCCAATTGCCAAGTTCCTTAACTGTATCACCTAGGGTTTCCTTCTGTTAATGAAGGAGATGACCACTGTCCCTCCAGAAAGCCAGGCAGCATGACCACAAGTGACCCCGACTTGAGCAGGCACTTACAGCTAGGTGACTTTGACCTTCCTCAGCCTAAGGGCCTCCCCATCGGCCCCAAACACCCTACTTTGCTTCCAGTGGCAGCAGCATGCCATGGGTATCCCCACTATCACCTGAAGAGTACTTATACCTCCTTTCTGTTTTGATTTCATGATGTAAGGGTGCATCTGCCTGCCGCTTCACCTTTCTCCCCTCATGGTCGAATCTGACTTACTCCCTCCATCCAAAGCTTTCCTTACCAAGTGTGTCCCACTTTCCTGTTACCTACCCAGAGCAATGTGTTCCTCTTTGTTTTCTAGGGACTGAAAAAGCACTCCCTCTCTCAGCCACTCCCTTCCCCTCCCATAGGTTGCATCTATTGCCGGCCACCTTTCTTCTCAAAGACTTCACCTGTCCCCAGTGCTGCCTCGGGATGCCCCAATCTACTTACTCCAAGGCTACGTCGAGCTTCTGCTTCTGGGGCTCCCTCCTTCGCCAAAGCTTCTTTTATTCCTGGCCACTTGCTTCTCTTCCGGAGGCTTTATCTGTCCTCTCGGAGGATGCACCAGTTCCCTCCCGCCCAACTATATGTGATCCTGGGCTCCCGCCCCGAGACTTCATCTTCCCAGGCATCGTCTTCTTCTTTCTCCCTCACCTCCTAGAAGCTGCATTCTAGCTACTTCTAGGATACCTGCTGGAAGCACCCTTCGTACTTGTCCAGGGTTCCATCAGTTCCGGGCTTTTTTTTCTCTCCTTGAGGCTGCATCTGCGCAGACCGTTACTGCCTCACGACTGCATCTTACCCTGAGGGCCTCCAATAGCCAGCAGAGGTTGTACCTGCCCGGGGCGCCCCCTTTAGGGCCCCTAGGCTGCACCTGCCCCAGGTCCCGCCCCCTACTCGGGCAGGACTGGGAAATTCCCGGGCCCCACCCCCACCCCGCGCCTCCGTAAGCCGCGCACGCGCGTACCGCACCGACTTTCCCGAGCCCCAACTGGGCTCTCGTCCACGGCGCCCCCAAACATACTTGCTTGACTCCAAGTCCCGATAGAGCCACATCCCACGCCGGGCTACGCCTACGAATGGCCTGCGGAGGCCGGCCGTTGCGGGCTTTCGCAGTACCGTCCTGCTCGATGTTCGATTCGTCGGGTCTACTGAGTGGAAAGGTTACGGCGCGCTTGCGCACTAGGTTCACAATTGAAACGGGATTCAGGGGAGTGAAAACGAGACTTCCCTCTCTCTAATTTATCGTTGCTCATTGCTTCAGAGTACAAGACTTTTCTAGGAACAACTTTAAAAAAAAAGAATCATATACATATTT